AAGGGGTAAAGAGCTCTGGCTGCTTTTGCAGAGGACCCAGGTTCTGTTCCCAGCACCCACATGTCAGCTAACAATCATCCATAACTCTAGTTCCAGGGGATCTGACACTTCTGATCTCCACAGACACTGCATGCAAGTGCCTTACATACATGTAGGCCAAACACTCGTACACATAAGACAAAAACAATTAAAAAATAAGGTGAAGAGAAATGGAGGAACGTGTCAATCTTGGTTCTTACACACATACACACATATATAAAGAGGCATGTATCAAATGGGAGATCAAAGAGGACACAGTTTAGGAGGCACACACACTTCATTTAGTGGGCATGTTGTGTCTGATGTGAGGAGCTCAAGGGAGGTGCTGAAGGCTCCCAGTGGGGTTGCTGGAGAGGAACTTTCTCACCCATCCTCTCTACTTCAAGAATATAGTGGCCGTAGGGGCTGGCTTTTGTGATGGACTGGGTTTTGGCGACAACACCAAGGCAGCAGTGATCCGGCTGGGGCTCATGGAAATGATCGCCTTCGCCAAGCTTTTCTGCAGTGGCCCTGTGTCTTCTGCCACCTTCCTGGAAAGCTGCGGCGTTGCTGATCTTATCACTACCTGCTATGGAGGACGGAACCGTAAGGTGGCAGAGGCCTTCGCTCGAACTGGAAAGGTAGGCTGTGCAGATGTGTGTGACGTGGGGTGCTTAGCAGGGAGGTAGGCTCTGCAGCAAAAATATTAAGACTGAACTGGGCTTGGTGGCACACCCTAAAATCCCAGCTCTTGGGAGGCTGAGATAGGAGACTAGTGAGTTCAAGGCCAACCTGAGCTACCAGTCAACCCAGTCTCAAGAGCAGGCAACAGAACAAAACTGGGCATGTGCTGGGCATGTGACTCAGTGGTAGGGTATTTGCCTAGCCCGCTTGGGGCCCTGGGTTCAATCCTTACCACGGGAAAGGAGAAACTGTTTTTGAACATCCCTACCCCTTTTCACCCACCAAGATCTCACCTCCCATCTGAGTCCCAGACTTTCCAGCTCAGACAAACTCTGCTTTTCCACTTCGTTTTCTTCACAGTCCATTGAGCAGCTGGAGAAAGAGATGCTAAATGGGCAGAAGCTGCAGGGGCCCCAGACAGCCCGGGAGCTACACAGCATCCTCCAGCACAAGGGCCTGGTGGACAAGTGAGTGTCTGCCACAGCTGGGGAAGGGAGCCACAGGCTGAAGGCCATCCCTGCTCCTCATCTTCTTAAACCTGCACAACCAGTGAGGTGGGCAGAGGGAACCTGGAGAAAGCCCAGTGTCACCAGCCATTTCACGATCTTACATTTTACACTGGGTTGTTTGGACCCTTCTGCATAGCTGCCACTTTCTGTCTTTTCTTCCTTGTCCCTTGCCCTAGGGGTTGGAGTTCTGGGACAGGAAAGCTCGTTAGAGTGTCCTACTCTTGGTTTATTCCCACAAGACCACCACTTCTGTCCCCTGATCCCTGTCTTGGGTGCTGAGAAGGAGGAGCTCTGTTCAAGGTGTTCCTTTCCAGGGAGTACAGTCAGAATCTCAGAAGAGGGGATGAAACAGGTTCAGAAGAACTGCTCATGGCTCTGAGTGAAGAGACCAGCCAAGCAGGGATGACAAGAAGAAAACTGGCATTTAAGGACACTGTCACATTAATGCACAACCGTGTCTTCACATAAACGTCGTATCTTCACTACTTCTATCATACTGGACCCATTTTATAGCTGGTGATACTGAGGTCCAGAGAGTTAAGTGGGCTACTCAGTCAGAAAACAAAAGCAAAACCAACCCTTAAACCAGGGAATCAGGCAGGCAAATCCAATGTGATAAGGAGAAGGGCAGATAGCAACCTGACCTAAACCCCAGGGCTGGGAATTCAGATTCCCAGCAAGTGGCAACTGAGAGCTGGGATTTGGATGAACTCCAGGGTGGGAGGGTAGGGAAGTGGAGGGATAGGTGGTGAATTGGGCCTAGGCTTGGGGGTGGGGTGTTAAAGGGTAGACTGGGAACCAGAGGCTAAGCTGATCCCTCTTTCCCACTCTAGGTTCCCCTTGTTCACAGCTGTGTACAAGGTGTGCTACGAGGGTCAGGCTGTGGGTGAATTTATCCGCTGCCTGCAGAATCACCCAGAACACATGTGAATTGGGCCAGGGCCCAGACAGGCAGTTCTTTACCTCAACAGAGACAAGCAGAAGCTTGGGACACCTGGTCATCAGGAAGATCTCCAGGACTCCCCACCAGCAGTCTTCAGTGAAGGACACTGAAGGACAGGAGGCCACACACCTGGAGACACTGAACTTCTGGGAAGCCTGCAGCCTCCTGCAGAAGTGGAGCTGCCTTGTCTCTTACTGTGGAGCTTTCTCACTGTCCTCTGGGAATTGTAGAATCAAGCCCCAGGGTTGCCTGCTCCAGGGGTGGGTGGGCGGGGAAAGGGAAGG